CAGTTTAATGAGACCCTCAAAAACTAGCAAAACTTTGTCTTAAACTAAACCACAAAAAGGGGTGGAAGGTTGTAGCTCAGTGGTAAAGCACCTCTGGGTTCAATCTCAGGTACAAAAAAAAAAAAAAAGAGCAGACTTTATTTTGGCAAAGATCTTTCTGTCTCTCTCCCTGGTGTCTTGAAGAGATAAAATTTGATATAGGTAAGGCACTGTGCTAGGCACTGCAGGCAGGAGATGAATCTAGATGAGTCTGGGACCAGTGACCAGTGAACTATTATAAAATTGGTCCTTATTTAAACTAGTGAGCTCGAAGGAGCCATAAACTGAAGCAGTTCTATAAATCTCACTGCTTTATAAGGCATTTCCCCCCAATAAAATGGGGATGGTGATTTTTTTAATGCATAAAGTGTTTTATACATGTATTAAAATTGATGACTTAATTTTTAAAGCTAGTTAAGATCCTCATCAAAGATATTAAACACCTACAGGATGGTCTATTTTATGATGAGTTTATGGCCAAAGAAAGGTGAGCAGGGTTACACAGTCACTCAAATGTTCTAATCATACACTAATTCACACCTGGAGCAAAGGCGACAAGAGCAAGTCTGTTGGCTCTCTCACTGCCTTCCCCGCCACGTACCATTTGCCATCCTGAACTGACCACTGCTGCCAACATTAGGCGCTGTCATCTCCATCAGCAAATGCAGTTTAGATTCCTCTCTGCCACCATCCAGCAGCCTGAATGTCCCCATGGCTCTGCCCTCCCAGAGTTAGAACATAGCTGAAAGAGCAATGCACACAGGCCCCTGTCGCTTAGATTCTGATTGCCAGCTCGATTTGCTATTTCCCTCTGGGGAGGAAGTTCTGATAGCCAAAGAAAACGTGCAGGGAGCACTTTTCACTACATCACCAAAAAACAACCAAAGAGGAAAACCGGAAGACTTGGCAGTTGCGCTTAATCTGATTCAGGCTGTTGTTAAGGGGCTTGTGCCCATGAACATGTGGTGGGTAGCCCCTTCCAACCAGGGGCTGTACAAAGGGGTCCCTGGGATTCTCCCACCCTTCTCTCCTGCTCTTGCAACCCTTCAGCAGAACTGTCTTTGGCTTTCAGAATACACTGGATTCCTTCTGCCTTTACAGACTTCAAATGCTCTGTCCCCTCTACCTGAAAGATCAGCACCCCAAAGCTACTTCCTACTTACCCTTTTTGACTTTCCCTAAACGTCTCTCTGACGTGACACCTGGGCTGTTAGGTTCCTCACATCTTTCACCCCCTTGAACTTTTCCTTCAGAGCACTTAAATTATGATAAGTAAACAATTATGTGTGATGTGATTTGTTTCATATCCTCTGCTGGGTGTGGGCTTCAAGGAGGGCAGTCCTGCTCACCACCTGATTCCTGTCACCAGGTGAATGCCAGGCACATTACAACGTCCTGATTTATCTGCTCACAGTAGAAGCTGAATGAGAAAACAAGTAAATGTGTGGATGAAAGCAGCCCGTGCTATTTTTGAACTCAAATTCACCACTACTGAATTTTTCTGTAGGATCTGTGCAATATTTCAAAATTCATCGAGTTGTTATAAGCTAAAAAGAAAATAAAACGACTTAGTAATTACACAGAAAGAAGAGGGGATGTTAATGGGTGGCAGGCCCTGGCTAGATGAGTTCACTTTCCCTGAGGTCCACAGAACACCCCCCTGCCAGGTTAACAGATGGCCCTAAAGCTCCTTCCTAGTTTCACACAAATGAGACTTACTGCCTCTCTCCACATAATTCCTCCATGAAGTTTCAGAGAAAGTTTGAGAGCCAATAGGTGCTAAACGGGCTTAATGAGCTGTGAGTCAGCTTTCTGTTGCTCTGACAAATACCCTAAAATAATCAACTTAGAAAAGATTTATTTTGGCTCACGTGTTTGGAGGTGTCAGTCCAGGATCAATTGGCCCTGTTGCTTTGAGTTTGCGGTGAGGCAGAAAATCATGGTAGAAGCATTTGGTGGAACAAAATTGCTCTCCTCGTGGCCAGGAGGTAAAAAGGAGAAAGAAGAGACTGGGGTCCCACAATCTTCCGGGACGTGCTCCGCTGACCTGGACACCCACTGGGCCCCACCTCTTTCTTAAAGGCTTTGCCACCTCCCAATGGCCCTGCCATTAGTAGAGCCTTTAACACATGTATCTTTGGGGACCATCAACCTCCAAAATATACCATGATTAGTCTTCAATTTTAAACAATCAAATGATAAGGGCTTTTATTTATTCTTTTATTGCATATTTTACACTGCCTACCATTTCTCTCAACTAATAATCCAACACTAAGACAGTTCTGAGTGTGAAGGGACAATAGCTACTTGGAAAGGAAAAATGACAGAGGGGAGTCTCAGCTTTTTTTTTTTTTTTTCTTTTTAGTTGTAGGACCCAATACCTTTATTTATTTTTATGCGGGGCTGAGGATCAAACCCAGTGCCACACATGTGCTGGACAAGCACTCTACCACTGAGCCCCAGCCCCAGCCCAAGGATCTGAGCCTTTTAATATGAAATCTGATTTGCATATCTGCCATGTTCCTGTAAGATTTTTGGACTGGAGCTTTGCAATGGTCTCTGCCTCGCTCTGTCTTCCATAAAAGTTTATGGATTTACGGTCATCGGGGATTGGCCGTCTGTCCCTTGTTAGTTACAAAGTCAGGCTTTGTGCTGGATTCATTTCCAGCTCTGTACAGCACTGTATTCCTGCACTGTTTACACAAACCCCTTCCCTAGGTCTCCATGATCTCTCTTTACAAGAATAAAACATTTTATTTTAGGTTCTCAATGGCCTCCAGAATTCTCTTCTTTTAAGATCATATCTTAAATTATAGGTATTGGATTGATATAGAAATTATCTTTCTAACCTCAAAGGTGTTTCGAATGATACGTCAAATATCCTTGTGTGGGTTAGTTTAATTATTTTTCCAAATGTTGTCTATTCTGTGAGTTCATTTATTCAATTACTTCATATCGATTTTCTAAATGTCAATGACAAATAAAGAATGGATGGACAAAGAACACCTGAAAACTAGAATTTGTAAATTTAGTGGATTTTAAATCACTGGAGCATAGGACACTTAGAATCCATTAGGTTGCTGATGAGTATTTAACATTTTAGTTAAATGATTCATTTTCCTCTTCAAGATTAAGATATTAGGATCCAATTAGGAGCATGCGGTGGCTCAGACACAGAGAAACCTCTTCTAACACCATTTGCCACTATAAATGTGGTGAGAGTTTATACAGAAGGGTGTTTTTTGAGGGATGATTGGTTGAATGTTTCTTGCTAACATTCACATGTACTTGTGCAAATTTTTCCACTACATTCTAAAACTAGAAAATTTAATTAAAAAAATAAAACATACATAGAAATTATCATAAAGAATAAAATAAAAACTGTGCTTAAGCTAATCACCTGGAAGTTATTTTACATTTCAGTATATTCCCTTCTTATCTTTTTACCATTGTCTACATTTCATACATTTATTACATACAATTGAGAGGTTTGTATCTATTATTTTCATTTAATTTCTATTTTGAGCCTTTCCCACAGCATTGATATCTTCATAAATACATTTTCTTCTGGTTCTTTACTGCCCATGATATACTGTAATGTGTATAATATTCCTCAGGTACTGGAAATTTAAGTTGCTTATTTTCAGAACTTATAAATACCTGTTTACATAGATCTTTGAGTTTCTGATATTTTATGTTATTTTAGATTCATAAAATGAAATTACTATATAAAATGGAATGAACATTTTAAGCCTTTTGATACATACAGTAAAATTGCTTTCTAGGATATTAATATCAATATCTTTTTCTACTTGCTACAGATGGCAAGGTTTAATATATTTACCACAAAATAAGTCATGCAATAACCCCAGAGGTTTGAGAGGCTGAGGCAGGAGGACTGCAAGTTCAAAGTCAGCCTCAGCAACTTAGCAAGGCCCTGTCTCGAAATTAAAAACTTTTTTAAAAAAGGGCTAGGGATGTAGTTCAGTGGTGAAGCACCCCTAGGTTAAATCCTTAGTACCAAAAAAAAAGTCACACAAATAAGTAGGATAAAATGCACTAAAGTAAAATGGGTAAAGAACATGAACAGAAAATTTACTAAAAAGAAAATCAAAATATCCATATAGGGGGCTGGGGTTGTGACTCAGTGGTAGCGCACTTGCCTAGCATGCATGAGGCACTGGGTTCGATTCTCAGCACAACATACAAATAAATAAAATAAAGGTCCACCAACAACTAAAAAATATTTTAAATATATATATATATATATATATATATATATATATATATACATATATATATATGTGTGTATATATATATATACATATATATGTGTATATATATACATATATGTGTGTATGTATAAAAAAAAAAAAAAAAAAAAAAAAAAAAAAAAAAAAAAATTTTAACTATTTTAATAGTTTTTTTCATGAAAGTAATCAAAGGTAAGATGTTAACAACAGGGGAAACTGGGTCTGAAGTATATAGGATACTTTCTGTACTTTTTTTCAAAACTTTTCCTTAACTTTAAAGTTATTTCAAAATAAAAAATTAAAAATATTCATATAACGGTGCTTAAGTTATTCAATAATGCCATTTTGCTTATTGATCTGATATATTCCAGATGTCTTAACTGGAGCATATTTAACCTTCTCTGAAGTCAGACCTCTAGTACTGAAAAGTGAATGTAAAATATTTCCAGTGAATTCCCTTATTTATTGCACAGTTCTCTGAATTTCTTCCATATGTTTTATGGCTTTATCTCATTTAATCCTTTCTAACCCTTGGAAGGAAGCAGTGAAATTAACCATGCTCATTTTACAGATGTGAAAATCAAGGCTGAAGGCTGAGGAACGCATCCAAAGTCACACTCTTAACCTCAGCTGGTTTGGTTTATAGGGTGTGCCCATTCGGCAGAGATGACTGGCAGCTTGGGAATGAGTGTCTGTCTTTCTTTCCAGCTATGTATGGCGTTCCCTTTCAAACAGATGAACCCACAGACATCATTCCGCGAAGCTGCCAACTAACAACAGACGTTCCGCACATCACACAGCTGCTGAACATGACTAAACTCCGCCAAACTGAAATCAAATTTGGAGGACATCCTCTAAGATCTGCAGAATCAGGTAAGCACGTGAAGCCCCTAAATCATAACCATAATATGTCTACATCCCCCCACAAATGTGGCTTCCTCCCAGAGGACACTGTACCTCATTCTTTGTGTCTGCTTTTATTAATGCATTATGGTTATGCATAAAAGCTGGGTTCATTCTGACACAATCATAAATGCATGAAGTTTAATTTACTCCATTTCAGTCCCAGGTGCCCCCCTCTCTCTCTCCCTTCCTTCCTTCTCCTGTCCCCTGACTCTACCGATCTTCTGTTCACTCATTTATTTATTTTTAATTGATGCTTTATAGATGTACATAAGGGTGGAATTCACTGTGGTATGTTAGTACATGCACATGGTGTACCTCATTCCTTTGTATCCTTAGTACGTGCTGTATTCTGGGTGCTGCAAGCTCAGATCACTACTGAGGTCAAGAAAATAACAAATGAAGAATTGGCCCGGGTGCCCGGCTATTTGACATGTGGAAACATTTTCTACTTCAACATGGAGTTTACAGGGGAAAGAGAGCAGGAGTTAAGGAGATGAGACAGTGCTTCAGAGAAATGGTTCTTCGACTACTGAAATAGCATCTTTAAACTCTGCAAATGATACAATAAATGGCAAACAACGATCTCTCCCATGAAGGAGTTTTAGGGAGTGGTGGTGGCTGCAGCCTCCTGAAGCTCATTCTCAGTTCTAGCCACTGTTGCAAGAAGCAACTAGAGCTTTTTTCTGATGTCTGAGCCCCACCCCCGAAATTCAGATTGAATTTGACCAGAGATGAGTGAGTTTGTTCATTTCTTTGTTTACCTCCCCCTAGTGACTCTTACAAGCAGCCAGGGTAGAGAACCACCATGTCGCTCAACCCCACAAAGGTTATAAGCTACAGGTGACACAAATACTAAAGTAATTCAGAGGAAAAGAAAATAATGATTTAGTAAATAGGGCATTTGTGGAGGAAGAAATAGATCCTGAAAATATTCAATGCAATATGTAAATGAGTATTTAGAATAAATAGAGATTTATGAGCAAGAGCCAGGCACAATGGCGCACACCTGTAATCCCAGCGGCTCAGGAGGTTGAGGCAGGAGTATGGTGAGTTCAAAGCCAGCCTCAGCAACTTAGCAAGGCCTTAAGCAATTCAGTGAGGTCCTGTCTCTTAATTAAATATAATAAAGTAAAGGGCTGGAGATGTGGTTCAGTGGTTAAGCACCCTTGGGTTTAATTCCTAGTACTAAAAAAAAAAGAACGATTTATGGGCAGGTAAAAAGGTAAAACGGGGCAGAAGACTGAGCAAAAATGAGGGCACAGTGAAATGCATGGATCAATTTTCATGGGATCGCTAAGAGTAAAGGCCTGAGTGGGCAGGAAAGCTGTGTTAGAATACACTTGGAGTGGGCCCCGTGTTCCCAAAGTAAAGGGCTGAGAACTGCGTTTTTAGGAAGTTGAATTTGACAGCAGGATTCAAAGTGAACTTTGAAATCACAGGAGACCAGAGATGGAGTGCAACTGAGATCTGTCTTTGCAGCAATCCAGGCATCAAATAGCAAGGGCTCCGACGGAGAGTAGCTGGTGAAAGTGGAAAGTAGTGGCCCTGAGAGAAACTGGTGGGGGAAGACTGGCAGGACTTGTGGGTTCTCAGATAGCAGAGCTTGAGGGAATCCAACATGGAGACAGGAAAAAAGAGATAACCAAGGTGAAAGTTGCAAGAGGGAACTCATTTACTCTGTATTCATCCCGCGTTCATCTATCTTGAGGGTATTTTCTATGTCAATCTTCATTGCACTATATGTCTTCAATTGTATGCTCCTAGAGAATTGGACCTATATTATAACTTTTTCACCATAAATCCTGAAAGAAGACTATATATAAATACACAGTACCTTTGTAATACTTATTATGACATTTATAAACTTAGAGAAATGTAGAGAGAATGTATAAATGAACAGCCCTCATGTGCCCATCACCTGCTTCAAAACTACCAATTTTAGGTAGGACTTTTTAATAGTACAGAAGGCAAATAATAAGAATTCGTGTATTTATTATATACAGTACATTTAAAGAAGAAGAAGGTTATATATAATCCATGTTCATTAAAGAGCCTTTAGATAATACATAAAAGGACAAAATAAAATGGTCTCACTACCCAGACATCCCTTATAGGCACTTCAGGATACAATTCAGTCCAATTAATGGGTCTTGCCCCAGAATTCAATAAGCAAGAGAATTTTTGATAATAATTGCTGTCTCTGCTTCCAATATACTGCAATAACTTTCCATAATAGAAATGACGGAGCTGTAAAGACTATCAGATAGCTTTGTAATTGTAAATGCTCTTTTTTCCTGATATCCCTCTAGTTTAATATTTTAAGAACTAATTATATCTTGAAATGAAAATGTAAGGCTATATACAAATACTTTAAGTGTGTTTTTTTTTATTTGAAGTTCAAGGATACTTAAAATGTATGAGATTAAAGGGGAATTTGAATAAATACTAATTTCATCATTAGTTCAATATTATAGTTAAACAGAAACTTTTCCATAGACCATATTTGAACCCAATTTACAGAGAAGGACATTAGAATGTATTTAGCAAATTCCATAAATGGGTTCTCAATGCATGATAATAGTCAACTTCAGTCGTATATACAGAAAATTAATAATTACCATCTGATAGCATGTTTCCTCTACCCTGTGACTCTCAACTACACTTATATTCATATTTAACCATAAGGTTTATGATTGTTCCTGTTACGTTAATCTCATTACAGCTAAGTTTCATGAGCATACATTATACTTTATGGCTCTCTTTCTACAGATACTTTTAAGGTGATGCTGATGTTGATATTTGTAGACTTTGAAGTTTACTATAAGTGAATGTAATAATTATTGTTCTCTGTGTAAAATATTTCATTTGGTGTAGTTAATGAATATGCCCAAGGACTGACTTTTTAATCCAGGGAAAGCCAGGAGGTATTTCTTTATTTGAACTATTTATTTTTGTGTCTTTCTAAAAAGTGGACTCCCCGTGATGAAATTTGAATTGCATGAGAAAATGACTGTGTGCTCTTATAATTTACTCATGTAAATTGTGATCTTTTATTATAAATGCACATATTGAGAGATCTCAGGGAGGCCTCTGGAGAAAGAGGTAGCTGTTTCCTATGAATGCTTTCTAGCATTTTCACACAAGCCAAAAAGGAAACCTTGAAACTTGGAACTGTTTTGGAGTGTATTTTGTTGAATGTCATATAGCTTGATCAAGAGCATTTAATGAAATTAATAAAATAATTGTTTCCAAAAAGCCAGGGTTTTTAAAAAGCTACACATTCCCACTGTCTGCTTCGTGAATTCCCAGTGCACTTTAACTAATGACTGTTATTCTGCAGAGTGCTGTGGAATCTGATGAGCCTATTTTCATTAATGAGACCCCAGTTTAATTGAACCAGAGAATCAGATCTGGTTATTGAAGTTGAGTATTCAGTCACTAATGACAGGATGCAGTGGTCCACTAAGCACAAATCAAAACTAGTAATTTACTTAAAATTATAAGGCAGTTTTCCCAAGTGCCCCCCTTTCCATGGCAGCAATCTTATTGTATTCTTACTCCTTTTTTAAATAAGAGGAGACTGACATCCCTAGTTTCTAGCACAGTTGCAAAGGGTAAATTAATGCAGCATCTAGCAAAGAAACAAAATAATCAGCTATCTTTGGCATTGGCAAAATCCATTCTAGAATTCTCCTTTGGGTTCCATGTTATGAAAGCAAGATTCAAATCAAGTAAAATAAGATTGAGTGTTGGTTAAAGAGATCCTACAATTTTTAATTCCAAAATCTGATAATAATTCAAAATAAAACCAAGTCTTCTCTTACCTTTGAATTATATATATTCTCTTCCCTATCTTCGATAAAAATGAAATATAACTGGTCCTATTCCTTCATATTAGGTATACCTATAATGCACTAATAAAAACATTTTTGAATTTTTTTAAGTGTGAAAAAATTTAGAATGGATATTGGTGAATATCTATGAACTCTGTTATAGCAAAGATATCACAAATGGAGTGAATTTTAATTTTTCTGTAAAAAAAAATCTGGCAAATATTGAAAAACTTTAATAATATAAAACATAGTATTAAATATGAAAAATGCATTTAATTAGTTTGATAACTGCATTACTCTCACAGGACTGACTTGTACCAACCTTGACACTGCTCCTTTAGTTTGTGACAACACTGCTTATAATAACAAAAACTGGGAGACAAATTACTTGTGCACAGTAGGGAACTGATTCAATAACCACACAATTCTATGTCACCCAGCAGTCCAAACAAGGACAAGGACCTGCTCTACCTGTGGTGGCCTGAGAAGGTCTCAGAGCTATCTCAGTCAGTGAAAAGTGGAAACAGAAAGATGCTTCAGTATGACCCTTCTGGTGTAAATAACAGAGAGAGTCACCTAGGCAATGGTATATCCATGATTTTTAAGAAAACTTAATTACCTTTGGAAGCAGGAACCTAGTGAAGGCAGCGGCAGAAAGAGAAAACCTTTGCTTCTCATGTTATATCTTTCTCTATTATCAACTAGAAAATTCTATATTCATGATTGATGTCAATGATATGTTTGAATGATTATGGGACACTTCTGATTTCATTTTTATACTTTCTGTATTTTGAAAAACTGTAAGAATTGCTATAAAATTCACATATATTTCTCTACTTAATGTCAATAGTTCCATTGAAAGTACATAATGGGAAGGAAACCCAATTTAATAATTGACAAATTAAAATCTACAAATGTATAGTTAAATATTAAACAACTATTTTTATTTTTTGTATAAGAAAAAAATACAGCTTATTTGTGCACACACATATATTTTATATATGTAAATATATACATATGTAAATATATACAGTATATATGTATACATATATGAATATCAGTATGGATTTTTAAATATTTTCATTGGACTGTGAATTTCATATACATTTCCACTAGTGGCAAACCTGTGGCTGT